AAGTTCAAGAATATCACAAATATCTCTCAGGTTATTTCTAGAATGCTATTGTGTAAGTTTTTCCTTGAACTGAAACATTTCCTTCTTGAGAAAGGCCATTTAAACTCAGGAAGTAAAGTCTACCTACAAAGCTCAGGAAGTTCCTGAAAGTTACGACTGACAAAGTCTCTCACCATGTTTAGAAAAGCAGTAACATTTTCCAGGAAAAAGTGACTCTTCCAATTGACTGAGCTGCTTGTGAGTTGTGCAGGGGCTCTAGGAATGCAGGTTTTATGAGTCATTGCCCATGTTGGGGTGGGCTTTTTGGTGATGCAGCTTTCTTTGAGCCATCTATGTACCTAGAAGTAACACTTACTTCACCCCATACTATAAATAACCCTTCAAAACTTACTGGTTCAATAAGCTAGGCTTGAGTGAAATTCTTTTTTATTTTTCAGTCTGTCACTGATGCCTTATCTGGGGTCAAGAGACATCTGTTCACATCTCACCAGGGAAAGACACAGCACCACAACGCACGTGCTAAGTCATTTTGAGAATTACAGGAGTAACTTTGACAGCCTTCATAAACTGAAGACCAAATCAGTGTTTTGTCTTTTAAGAATCTCTTCTTTCATCCCAAAGAAGCTGCTATGAAGGAAACTTGTCATCGTCATGGCAAGCCCTGGCAGCAGGTCAGAGTGTATGTGGTGCTGAGCTGTGTGCTGCTGGTGGTAGGCCCCTGCACAGCCATTGTGGTAGAGTCAAAGCTGTCCAACAGTCATTTAGAATTCATCCTGGGGGTGCTGGAGATGGCTCAGCGATTAAGAGCTCTGGCTGCTCTTGCAAAGGCCTGGGTTTGAGTTCCAACACCCACATGGCAGCTAACAACCCTCTGTAACTACAGTTCCAGGGAATCCAACACCCTCTTCTGATCTTGGTGGGCAATGTATGACAAGGGTGCACTTACGTACATGCAGGCAATACACTTATACATACAAAATAAAATGATAAGAAAATATTTTAAAAAAGGATTCACTCTTGGATTCTCCTAGAAGGAGCTCTACAGTTCTTTCTGTGCCTGGGCTATGAGAATGTGAGCCATGATTGGGCTGGAGGTCAAAGGACATGAGAACACTGTCAAAGGAAAAGGCTGGCTTCAAAATTAAGTGAGCCCATAGAAGGAAGTGGGTTGGAACAAGAGAGAAAGAGAATGTGAAAGGGAGAAAGAGGTGCATGAGAGAAGGAGACAAAGAGAATCTAGAGGAGGGAGAGCAAAGGAGGAATAGAGAGAAACAGGAGCAAAGACATTTACAAAGAAACAAAGGCAGTGAAAACGGAGGTCAAGACACATGCGCCTAACCCACTGGCGTCTAACCCACTGACTGTGAGGAGAATTTTGAATTTGGGCATTCCACAGGCAAGTTCCTTTCCTGCCTTTCTGTGGTTTAACTGTCTAAACAAATAAAGTCTGTCATTTGTTTAAGGTATTTTGAGTGAGGTTTTTAATGACCTACAATGGTCAACTTCAATTATGTGAGAAAACATGTTCATTACTTTACTGAGCTAAATTTGTACTTCCATGTCCATATCAATGACAAGGACATAGCAGTCCAAGTCAGTAAATATTTATAGACGCACTAAAGGGAAGGCAGTGTGGGTTAAGTCACAACAAGTGCTATCCCAGAAACATGAATGCTAACCTCATTGGGAAATAAAGGCTCCAATGCAAACAAGAGAATTTATAGCATACAATAAAAACAATGGAAAATGAAGCTTTGCAATATGGGATTCGCTATTATAACAGTAAACATTTCAGGAACACAGAGGAGGTCTATAAATATATTGGGGAACAGTACCCCATTTTAAGTGTCTAAATTGTATCTTGTATTCATATGACATGACTGGACCAGAGGTTTTAGGCTTTGAAGTCATTATATTCTCCTTTCCTAAAATGTCCCAGGACACTGAGAGAATTTCCAGGACATGCTCCCACTATTTCAGAAATCAGTGTCAAGTTAACACCGGCAAAGAGAGAGGACCTGGGCAGTCCAGTGCTCAGCACACAGCTCCCAGAAAGGCTCTGGACCTAGGTCACTGCTTTGCTATCTTGCAATTGTTCATTTTCCAAACAGGGACCTCACATTTTTGTTTTACTTGTATACTAAGTGCAGCTCTGAGAAAAGAAACAACATTGAACAAACACGTCAGATCAGTGACCTGGTTTTCAAAGCTTCCCAAAGCTGGGAGGCTTGAGACATGTGAGGAGTCTGGGAACAATGACACTCTCTCTTACCTGCCAGGTATTCCACCTTAGCCCTTGACCAGAAGCAAATGGTGTAGTAAAATTAGAAGTCTGGAGCAATGAGCACTTGTATTCTACCAATTCACAATAGAGCCCAAACCAAAAGGCAGTTGGCAAGTAAGCTTCCAGAAGCCTATCGCACATCTTGAGGATGTGACATGTCTCAGATGAATCGTCAGAACAAGGTCTGGATGGTCTGAAGCAGGTCAAAACTGAAGACGACAGTCTTGTCTGAGCATGTCAGATATAAGTCTGTACCACAGAATTCTTGGTGACAATGTCACCTAGAAACACAACTCTCTCTCACGCAGTACATATTGAACAGAGACTAACAGTGATTTTAGGGCTCAGTGTATCCGAATCAGTGAGTCTTGATGTTGTCTAGCCAATGGCAACATCTCACCAGCTTTTATGTTCATTGTGGTGGTGCAGAAGAGCAATGGAGAGGGTACCCACCTTGCTCTGCCAGCAGCTATGACAAGCTTGCCTGCCTCATATGCACCAGGGCAGCTGCTCTTGTACTTAATCCTGCCTGGCTGATGCCTAAATCAGACCATTTCTGTGCTCATGTAAGTCCCTAATTGAAGAGATGTTGCAAATAACTGTTACACCAGAAACACTACACTTTCTACTTTGAACCTCAGGGTGAGAGGGTTTTGTATTATTTTCTAATGGAATAAATTTAGATTTATAAATTCAAGAAGGAAAATTATATATGATGTGCTAAGGTTCAAAATAATTTCTTTATAATTTTCTAAACTGATCAAGACAATATCACTTAATGTAAGACTGAAGGCATACATAAATAAATAGATGGTAGAATAATGAATCAAATATATCTATTTTGTGTATGTGGGATACATGTATATACCTGTTTGTATGTGGGTGTACGTATGTGGGTACATACGTCACTTTGTGAACATGCATGTGGAAGTCAGAGGTTGACTTTATGTGTCTTCCTTAATTGTTTTTCTACTTTGTTTTTTGGAGACAGGACCCCTTATTAAACCAGTGATTTGTCTAGATTTTAGGGTCAGTGAGCCTCATCTAGTAACCAACCACCCTGTCTTTCCCTCCCCAGTACTGGGATGAGAGGAGCACACTACTGCACCTGGATTTTTATGTTAGTGTTTGGGATCTGAACTCAGGTCCTCATGCTTGCATGACAAACACTTTATCAACTGACCCATTTTCCAAATATGACTATTTTAAAGCAATTATCTTTCTTACTTTACCCCTAAGGACGCCTGACAATAATCTCAACCTTTATGTTAACTCCTACTGATACATTTTGAGGTAGAAGTAGTTTCTTATGTTTAGTGCTATATTAAAATTATTTTTAGAACTTTATTTTACTTTTGAGAGTTTCATACATGAGTACTGTATTTGCATTATTTCCAGCCTTCCAGTCTCCTTCCAGTTCCTCCTACAACCCCCACCGGAAGTATTTTCTTTCTATTCTAATTATTCTTTTTCTCTTCTGCTATTCACAGAGGCATAGGTTTCTTCTATAACTTCTCAGTAGAGTCAAATAAACAATTGTAGAGAGCTCCATTACATCTTGGTCAACAACTGACCACAGTGATGACTGTATCACCTAGTGATGTTGTAGCCATCTCAGTTTGTATAAACATACTCTTTGATGTCCATAGAACCATGAAATTTGCTGCAAAACTTTTCTCAGCAAGTATATCCACCGTGGAGAGATGTATGGCTGTAATTATGTGAGTTAGCACACATCTGTATCATCTCTATCTCAATAAATGCTAGCAATCAGCCTCTGCTTACTTAAGAAAATAATGAGGTCTACTCACAAATGAAAACTAGGTGGACATCATGATTTATGTGCAAGAAAACCACTATGAAGACAATAAGCGAAAGAAACGGAATTTTGTAGCAGTGATGAACCCAGTCCTCAGGCTATAAACATTCTAAAGCTGCAAAGCTAAGGAGCTGTGAGGGCAGGATGTTGGGTGATGCACTAATTGGTTGGGCATTAGGATTTGCTTTCTGGTGTGGATTATGTTTCCCTTTCATTTTCCCACTAGATTTAGCTATTTGGGAAGGCTGTCCTGGGAGGGTTAGGGCTAACTCTCTTCATGATTTAATACTTAATATGTCTTTGTGGAATTTCATAATCCCAGAGATTTTTTTCACATACTTAAGAGGAAAAGATTCCCTTTATTCCTTAAAAGATTTATTTAGGAAATGCTATATAATTCCACGAGAATCTTGAAGGGTCTGTTTTTAAAAAGCATTGATCATCTGTTTTGGGGGACACATGGATAAAAATTTTGACAGGAACTGATGGAACTGACAATATTCTGTGAATTGAGCCAAAGCAAGCAGAAACTATTATATTACTCTGACTTTTACAGCCATTGCTATCCATATCTAGAGGGGAGAGGATTTAATCTTACAGAGTTATTTAGCCATTCTTGTGAGGTTTGCTCTTGTGAGGCTTCTTTTAGATGGAACTTGTTTTAACAGAAGGTGGCATTGCCCCTGGCTTCAGCTGTTCTCATCATCACAGTCCTGTGCTTGTTCTTCTTATTCAAAGTCCAAATTCTGCCAAATGTCAGCACCTCTTCAACTTGCTATCCCAGGGTGAGGGTCATCAAATTTCTCATTCATACTATAAAAGTTGGCAACCCCCAAAGGTGTCACACCTAATAAAATACTGGTTTTTAAATACCATTGTGCAAATGAAAATACCTACCTCTCTTGCAGAATCAGTTTGTTCTCTTTCTTCCAAAAGTCTTTAAAGTCAGAGCTGAATTCATGCCAGATACTGAAGAAAACATTTGGGGACACCTCCTTCTCTCCAAGTTTTGGTTTCATGAAGTAGTAAGCTGTGGTCTCCAAAAAGCTGTCAAAGCATACACACACAAGAACATAAAAGCTATGATTACTTTCCAATATGGGATATTCCTTCTCTATCCAAGTGTTGAGTTCATTCATGCACACTTGGTATTACCATGAGGATTCTAACTTCTTTAGCACCAACACTAGTGCTTTATGGTTTCATATTAGAGTTTTAGATGAAGATGGCTATAGCAGACAAGAAACGTCTAACTAACTTATAACTACCACTGGGTGATTCCATTTTCAATTAATCACAATGTGTCTGATACATTTCATAAATGAACTATGGCCAAGCTGAGGACATGGGACGCAAGCAAGGGTCCTGTGCTTTCTTTTTAAACTCTAAGCAAATAACATACCAGCTATTTTTCACCAAATTCATATGTATTCTCTATATTATTCTGCTTAAAAACTATTTGTGTTCTTACATGGCTGGTTGGAGAGTTTGGGGGAGAAAGAATGCCAGGAAACACTAATAAAGTCTGCCATCTAGATACCAAGATGATAACTACAACAGTGACAGTGAACGATGGGCCTAGTCTTCACAAGGTGCAACTCAGCGTTCTATCATTTTATAGCTAAGCAGAAGTTCAAGTTTCAAAGGGTAATTCAACAAAGAACACGCAACTAGTAAATTATAGGTTTAAAAGCTGACAAAAGTCTCTTAGTGTTACAAACAGTTCCCCTGAACAGGACCCTTGCCAACTCTTCATGATGCTGTTCATGTGAGAGAACTTGAGCGGGTCAGAAGAGCTGCATAAAGAAATAATGTGCAAATAAACTTTGTATTTTTTTGTTTTAACTGGCTTGGGTCAGTGCTATTTCTGCTAGACAAACTCAAGTTTGATTTTCTCTGAAATAAAAACTTTTAAGGCAGCATGGTTTTGCCAAATGATTAAAAAACATGTGTACACACATATACACAATGACATAGCTCTTTATCCATGCTGTCATGCAACTGATTGTAAATCTTTGCTATGAAATAATGTGAGCATTTAAAAAAAGTTGGGATCTTTATGGCAAGTTTGCTCAGAAGATGCTTAAACTGTGACTGAATATCAAAACCAGAATTCAGCTCTGCCCAGTGGCAGTATTGTATCCAGTACAGTTTACCTGAGCCATGATCATTGCTAATTGAAAACTTTTTCCAATACTCAGCTATCAGGACTTGAAATACATTTGGCAATGTAAATTTTTGACAGTCTCTCTGGAGACTGAATACTGCTGGTTTAAAAGCTAGTAGCTGAGGGAGGAATGGGAGAGATAGCTAGTTTCTCTGAACAAGCATGGAGACTTGAATCTGATCTCCAGTGTCTGTATAAAAAAGCTGGAGCCTTGGCTCGCACAGTGCTGGCACCAGGCAGGTGGAGAATGGAGAATCTTTGAAGCTATCTCTAGCAAGTCAGCTGTTTGGGTGAGCCCCAGGTGAGTGAGGGACCCCGTCTAAAAAGTAAGTCAGAGAGTGATTGCAAAAGACAACCAGCATCAAACTCTGGCCTCCACAAGTATACATAGACACACACAGACACACACAGACACAGACATGCACACAGACACAGACATGGACACAGACACAGGCATAGACACACACACAGACAGACAGACAGACAGACACACACACACCACACACACACACACATACAGACAGACACACACATACACGTATACATAGACAGACACACACACACCACACACACATACAGACAGACACACACACACATACACACATATACAGACAGACACACACACATACACATACACACAGACAGACAGACACACACACATACACACATATACAGACAGACACACACACACATACACACATACAGACAGACAGACACATACACACATATACAGACAGACAGACACACACACATACACATACAACACAGACAGACAGACACACACACACATACACACATACAGACACACACATACACACATATACAGACACACACACATACACATACACACAGACAGACAGACAGACAGACACACACACACACACCCCAAAACACAAGTTGGTGACTGATGGCTGAGGACATAATTCAGTGATAGCACACTTGCCTTGCATGCTCAAGGCCTTAATTTTCATGCTCAGCGCCACTAAAAACAAAAACAGAAACACTACAAAATTCATAGCCACCCCTGATTATGGATTACCAAATGTATAGTGAATTCCATTCTGCTTTTAAATTTGCATTACAGCTGTCTCTGAACAACAATATACTTATGAATATTGTTCCTAAGCTTTTAGGTTCTGGGAAGAAAAGACAACACTGATTTGATTTACTATATGGGGTCTCAGTAACTATGCTCCACCCTTGGTCTCCTATTTGGAAGATGGCACAGTAAAATCAATGAATCCTCTGAAGTGAGGATGTGAAGTGCATATGGTACATGAGGATTTAGATGTTTCCTGCTATGGTGATAGCTTTAGCACATGTCTATAGAATGTGTTCACAGTGGTGGAGCTGCCCCGAGCTTAGACAGCAGAAAGTACAAACGGTGAAGACGTAGTTGGGTCATATTTTATTAAACCTAATGAAGTAGATACAGGTGTTTTTCCAGGGAAAACTGGTGATTTTCATTTCATACCTAGAGAGTATTTGTGACTTGTCAGACTTAAGTCCTGTGACTGCCCATTTATTCCTTTCATTATTTCTCTCCTATTTTTATCTCATAGAACTGATTATTATGGAGCAACCTGGTCTGTGAGGTTGTGATAGTTCATTCATCCATCCAGCTATCTGGCAACATTTTGGACAGTTTTATTACAAAAGAACATGGTATTAAAGGCAAGGACATAAGATTCAGAATGAGAAAATGTGGGATGCTGAACTCCTACTCTAACGAGATACACAAGGAAAGCATTTAATACCTTTATGTCTTAACTTTTTAATCAGCAAAATGGAGATTATTATAAACAATCATGTCATGTTCATTGAGGAAAACGGAATCTCCAAAGTGTCTGTTTAATATTTTAACACAATTTATTTTATATTTCATATTATTTTATGTTACATATATTATATATTTTATAATATATTAAAATATAAGTATGTATATTTCTTTTTTGTTTCAGTGTCCATTTTACTGAATTTTGTGCACTTCATACAAAACCTCTTAATTATCTTTATACCCCCTTTCCTATCTGCTCCCTGCATTGCTCTCCCCCGACCAGATTTCATGCATTCTGACACTCATATTAGGGTCCAGTTAGTATACCCAGATGTCCCTCAGTACAAGTTCATCCTCTGGAGTCTGGTCAGCCTATCTAGAGTCTCTTCCTTATATCAAGTCTCTCTCACCCAGCAGCAATCAGCTGCCAAGAGTTCTTGGGGTCTGCTGTCCATTTCCCCAATTCTACGCTGGGTAACTAAGTGCATTTTCTTCCTACTTTAGGAATTGAAAGTAGAAAAAAAATCACTTAAATATATTGTCTTTTTCTCTCTGTAGCAGTTTCTCTGTAATGATCAAATAAAGAAACCTAGAGCAAAATCATGGCTCTGCAGACCAATAAGCATCTGCCAGGAACATACGCCCGTGAAACAGATGAAAACAGTTGCCTAGGACACTCTAAAAGGACAGGCAGAAGCATATTTATAAAATGACAGATACATAAAACAAATTAAAAATGGGAAAAACTTAGCAATGAGGAAATAACAAAAAATAGTAAAGAATTGGAAAATGACTAACACACAAGGATTAGACTAGAAGCAACATAATAGTTAAAAAATTAACACAACACGTAATGCCTATGGTCAAAGAAAGAAAAATAATTTAGAAATCAAAGATAAATGAAAGAAAGGATGTGAGAAATAGTTACAACTGTAGAAGACAAAAATTCCTGTATGTGCATTATACAAACATCCATAAAAATGCTGTTCTTATAACAAGCAGAGAAGAGAATAAAGGTCCCGAGAGGCAGGAGAAGGGGGAGACAAGGAGGACAGAAGGTGGTCAGTAAGTGCTAAGTCAAAGTCAGATACGAGAAATAATTTCCAGGGTGAGTGAGGAAGTGCTGTAGGTGAGCATGGCTAACTAAAATAATAAACAGATTGAAGAGAGTATTTAAATGTTCTCATAACAAAGAAATGAAAATTTCAGAATTGCTGGACATGCCAGTCACCTTCACTTTGATCATTATACCATGACTATAATGTAGAGGACCATCTGATTGTACCTGACAAGCATGGATCTATGTGCCAACTAAACTAAGGATAAAAATGTGAAAGCACCCAGAGAAGACAACCAAAAGCATGAAAGAACACATATTAGAAAGACTAATCAAAGGGCAGGTGAGATGGCTCAGCTAGTGGGTAAAGAACTTGCCATACAAGCCAGATGATGTGAGTTCAATCCCTGGAAGCCATGTAAAGGTAGAAAGAGAGAATCAACCCCACCAAGGTGTCCTCTGACCTCCACATGAGTGGTGGTATATGCACACAACCCCATCATACACATGCATATACACACAACAATAAAAATACATATACACACAAAAAATGAAATAGGACTCAAGTTTTCAATGAGATTAGAACAAGTTGATGAAACAACAAATGTAAGCCAGAAAGTGTGAGGCAAACATTTAATATCCATCTAACCAGACTTTCAACATCAAGAGCACAGGAAAACTGTTTCCAGCTTGAAAAAATTCAATGAATATTATTCTCATGACCAATTACTTAGACGTTTAATGGAGAATGGACTCAACACCAACAAAATGGCAGGAGATCCTGCCCTAAGGATTAGCAAGTTAGGATCTGCGTATAGGGAAAGGAATGAGAAAGCCACGTCTCATGGTAGGAGCTCTGCTCTGAACTTGAATTCCAAATACTAATAGGAGTTACCAAGGTGTGTATTAATTCCAGTTTTATTCACAAAGAATTTAATCACAATTTAAATTACAAAATCAACAGCAGAGATTAAATGATCTTCAAAGACCACTCCAAAATCAGAGCAAGAACCACTTAAAGAAATGGTTCAGTTGAGTTCTGGGAGAAAAATTTTACGAAATGTTCCTGGGAGTCCTTTAGTACAGAAACAGTTAGGGAAGGTCCTATATTTAAGCTCAGATTTTCTTTTGATATGATCTTTCCTTATGTTGCCTGTGATAAGGCAGTCAAGTACCATGTTGTACATTGGTGAACTAGGGACCTACAAAGGACTGACATCACAAACATGCTAAATTTCATGAGCTCATCACAATACCCAATTTGTCACCCATGGAAGAAGCCTAGAAGTCCATCTTCTTATTCTGAAAATCAGTAAGCTAAAGAATCTTGCATGTCTCCTGTGGATCACATGACTGAACAGTATTATGCCTAAGAAAGGTAAATTTTCTTTAAGGAAAAAGCGTTTCACTTAATAACTGAGGGGGAAAAAGAAAGGTTTCTGTTTTACAAATCATAAGAAATTAGCACATCTGGACATTGATTTTCAGATGCTGGAAACATCACAAAAACACATGGTAGGCTTCCCTTTGGTAGAACTCAGTTTCCCTGTGATGGAACTTACCATGACTCTCATAAAGTGATTTCACCAAATGTTCAAGCTTAAACTCACTCAGGCATCTAGAATTGCACCTACAATCGCCTGACAATCTAAATGGAATGCAGAACAGAGTAAACTACCCCACTAGATGGTAGAGAGGGACAATCCATAATGAGAAACTCTACTGAATGAGTGATCTGGTTTCCTTAACAGTTAAGTTCCAAGGAAAGATTTTGTTGGAGGGGAATAGATTTTAGGAGGTTTAAATTATAACAATTTATCTTTGTGATAACACAGCGGGATATTTTGATGTCACAGTGGAGGAGTATGATGTCAAAACGGGCATTATTGTTTTATAATGGAATACTCTGATGCCACAATATGGCACTGTGATGACATAATGTGACATATTGTAACAATGGTGCATTTTTGATGGCACAGTAGGACACTGACTTGTCTCAATGGTTCATTGTGAGGTCAAGATGTGACATTATGATGGCAAATTTGAGTATTTATGTGAAGCAATATAGCACTGCTATGTCACAATGAGGCATTATGATGACAACAGTGCATTGGGATGTCATGATGGGGCATTGTGATTTCACCATGAATAACTATAATGTCATTATGACATTATGATGTCAGAATGGAGCACTGTGCTATCATATGGTGGCACAAAAGAACACGGAAAAAAATCTCTTTTATGACATTACATGGA